CTCGAGTGGGCCCAGTAATGTCTCCATTGTGACACTTGTTACTGTGTTTGGCATATCGAATACGTCACGGGTAGCTTGCCAGACTTTGCCGTGCAGGCGAGATACTCTCAGTAGCTTGCCAGGCTCTCCAAGAGGGGCGGAGGAATTGAATGTGGGTCGGTCCGGCCGGCCACTTGCAAGGCAAACGGCCTACCCACTGTGCTATGGCTCCAGCCCAATATTGCAGGTGATTTAAGCTTTTAACTGAGACATCGGACAAATGCATATGTTTTGGAGGAGGTCACGTGCAGCATTACTTGTGGGACTATGCAATGCTGGGGATCAAACCTGGGTCCCCAGATCATACAAAGCATGAGGCCAGCCCTTTGGGTCATCTCCCCATCCTCCCATGGATCACAATCACAATCACAACCATCCTGCTATTCATCAATTGCCTCGAGCAGGCCCCAGTAACATCTCCTTCGTCCTAGCCCTGAGATTTTTTTTTTTTAAAAGTGCCATATTCAAGGCTCTTTCAGAGTTAGGAGAATGAGACCCTTCATTGTTACTGGTATTTGGCATATTGGGTACGCCACGGGGAATTTGCCAGACTCTGCCATGTGGGCAGGTTACATTCGGCAGCCTGCCAGTTTGTCCAAAGTAGGAATGAGATGATAAGATGGATATTCTATACAAACGAAACAGTATCTAAAAGTCCCTATCTATGCCACTCAATTTCTCTTTTGCAAACCACAGCATCCAAAAGGAGAGAGAGAGAGAGAGAGAGAGAGAGAGAGAGAGAGAGAGAGAGAGAGAGAGAGAACAAAAGGGAATGCCCTGCCACAGAGGCAGGGCGGGATGTGGGGGATGGAGGGTGGGAGGGATACTGGGATCAGTGGTGGTGGAGAATGGGCACTGGTGGAGGGATGGGTACTCGATCATTGCATAACTGAAACCCAAGCACAAAAATTTGTAAGTCTACAACTGTACCTCATGGTGTTTCACTAATAAAAATTAAAAATAAATAAAATAAAAGTCCCTATCTAAAAGCCCCTCAGCTCAAGCATTAGGTTCTCTTTCCTCTGCTTTTTCTCCATAAACAATGAAAGAACAACCTTGTCTCACAGCATTTTGGTGGGCCCAACTTAACAGACACAGAAACTCATACACCATACAATTCTACACATTGTGTGCACCCAACTCGGGGCCTCTGAGAATATTTCTGGATCTGTGCAAATAACATCTCAATTGATTTCAGGACATTTTCATAACCTCATAAAGGCACTTTGTACCCATTAACTATGACCTCATCTCCCTTTTCCCCCCTCATCCCACCCCTGAGGCAACCACTAATGTATTCTTTTCTCTCTTTATAGTTGACTATTCTGGTTATTTCCTATAAATGGTTCATAAATAAATAATCGCCATAGTCTTGTCTTTGCTTGGTGTTTTTCTGTCTGCTTGTTTGGGGACTACATCCCGTGACGATCAGGGGTTCCTCCTGGCCCGGCCCTGTGCTCAGGAATCACTCCTGGTGGTGCTGGGGGACCATAAGGGATGCCGGGGATCGAACCCGGGTCAGCTATATCAAGACATACCAAGACAAGTGTCCAGACTGCTGCACTAGTGCTCCAGCCCCCTTTTGTTATTCTTTTGTTTGGGGGTCCGCATTTGGCGGTACTCAGGGCCTACTCCAGCTTCTGTGCTCAGGAGTCACTTCCAGCAGTGATGTCCAAGGTGGTGTGGCAGGCCTTCTATGCATCTGGAGTTCTTTCTCTGGCCTCTCCATAGTGTTTCCAAACATGACCGTCAGCATTCCTGAGGCAGCTACATCACCACCGTGATGAGGTATTCTTGGAAGCTGCCAAGGGAAGGTACCCGGTAATTTGTTAGTGTTTTATTTTTGGGTCACATCCAGTGGTGCTTAGGAGCTACTCCTGGTGGTACACGGGGGGGAGGGGGGGGGTGGGAGGGGGAGGGGGTCCATGTATGTCAGGGAGAGACCCCCATGCCTCTTGCATGCAAAGCATGACCTCCAAGCCTTCAAGCATCTTCCCAGCCCCAGGACTGATTTTCAGGGTTTTACCCCCAGCAACACTCACAAGCTACTCCTAGTTCTGTGCTCAGGTACAGAACCATGACTGGCCTCAGGCAAAACAAGTTCCTAACCCCCCTACCCCATCTCCACTCATTCAACTGGAAACTTCTTCCAGCACCTCACTATTAGTAATGTCCTTAGCTCACTCTTGAACTGGTTTTACCATCTTACTTTGGAATGTGGGCTGGAGCGATAGCACAGCGGTAGGGCGTTTGCCTTGCAAGCGGCCAACATGGCCAACCCGAGTTCGATTCCTCTGCCCCTCTTAGAGAGCCCGGCAAGCTACCAAGAGTATCTCGCCCACACGGCAAAGCCTGGCAAGCTCCCTGTGACGTATTCGATATGCCAAACACAGTAACAACAAGTCTCATGATGTAGACGTTACTGGGCCCGCTCGAGCAAATCAAGGAACAACGGACCTGACCGTGCTTACCTTGGAATGTAAATAATTCCCTGATAAGGGAGCAATCTCCTGATAAGACTGAAAGGAAAGTATCACTCTTTGTAACAGCTGAGGTAAGGTTTTGTCTGCAGCAAATTATGCTTGAGAATGAAGACTATCTTTGCCAAAGATTTACTCAACACATATTCTTGGCAGAAATTTATACCATTTCACACAGCAACAGCACACAGGATAATAGCTCTTAAAAAGCCAAACATACTCCCAAACAACAGTACGTTAATTACCACTATTCCATGCAAAGGGGGAGATGAGGTGGAGATCAAGCGGAGGTGTGCTTTTCTAGGAGGTGATTCTAAGGCAGTGGGTTTAGGTAAGCCAGGACTGAAGTCCTGGGGATGTAGGCGGGCTCCTTGGTGCTTTAGTGAAGCTGGAAGGAGAAAGATGGTCACTTTCTCCCAATCCGCCTCTGCCACTGGGACCCAGGGTTACTGGGTTCTTGTCTCCCTTTGAATTGCAGGAGGAGACGAGTGGTGAAGTAAAACACATTGTATTTGGAGGTTTTTGAAGTGGAGGAGGGAGAGAAAAGTGGGAGAAAGTGGAGAGTAACGTGCTCAAGAAAGAAACGGGCTTCTCCAAGGGTGGAGAGAGGCCCTACACACATCCCAACATTGGACACGAAAGCATGAAAGTCCACATCTCAAGAGGGGAGATGCGGGCGACACATGTGCTCAAGCACCGCATGTGCTCGGTCACGTGGGCTCAGGCAGCATACGTGGGCACCTTCTTTGTTCGAGGGGGCCTTTATAGGGTTCTTCCAACCTGTCCCCCATGTGGGGCTTCTACCTAGGTAAAAGTCCATTGCTAAGGGGGTTGCCAAGGGGGGTTGGTTTGGGAGTGGTGATGGTCTTTGAAATTCCTTTCCTGGCCTTTTGTTATTGCGGACTTTCTCTCAGAGGGGCTCCAGCTTTCCCTCAGTCTGTTGCGGGTCAGGTGAAAGTCTTATCAGGCCTTAGTCCCTGTTTTCCACAAGAGTTGGCTTTTGCAACTTCAGGGTTATAAATTTCCTAGGAAATTTACTGCCATTGCCTTGGGAGGGAACCTTCCCTCTCTTGCCTGCCTGCCTACATCACAGGTGTCCAGGCGAAGAGAAAATTCTAGGTTGCTGAGGCTGGGTGGTTGCTGAGCTCAGACACTGGTTCTGGGAGGCAGGAAAATCTTCCCAAACAGCAGCGGGATTTTGCCATTTCCGAGGAGAGGGAGGGGTTGGGCAGACAGAAAACCGGCTCGCCTCAGGGTCTGCAGATCTGTTCAAGACTTGCCCAGACCGGGCACTCTCTGTAAATCCTCATCCTTCTGGATTTTTAAAGTTTAAATGCCCCCGGATGTCAGTCATGCCCCTGGATGTTCATATAGACAAGCATTCCGAAGCTTGATGCCACCAGATTAAAACCGTGATCCTCAAGTGATTCAAAGAGTTCAAACTATAACAGACCTTTGTCCAAAACAAGCTTTGGAGAACTACTTTTGAAATCTTTAACAACCCTGAGCCTGTAGCTCAGGTTCAATAGGTTAAGTAACAGGCCTAATGCTACAAAGCCAACATTTGATTTATTCGGGTGGGATGGGGGGAGGCAGACACACCAAGCCCTGCTCAGGGGTGACTCCTGGTTCTGCACTGAGGAACTACTCTTGGCAGGACTCGCGGGACCATAGGGGATGTTGAGGACCCAACAGGGGTCAGCCATGGGCAAGGCAAGCAGCTGTGCTATAGCTGGGATCCTTGAGCACAGAGACCCGTTGTGCCATATAGCTCAGGCCCCCAAACCGTCCACATTTGAACCCCAAGTCTCAGCCTTTCTGGTTCTTGGATCGTGATGACTCCTTAAGAGCCTGAGACAAAGGTAAAGAGAAAACACCAAGAACCTAAGGTGATGTGGCTTTGTTCTGGGGTCACCCGTGGGGTGCTCATGGGTTACTCCTGGCTTATTGCTCCTGGTTCGGGGTTCACTCCTGGGGGTCTTACGATGGGGGTGAGAGGCACACGCGGTGCAGGGATCTCACCTGATCTCCTGCATGCATGCAACGCAAGAGCACGGCTAACCCGTTGAGCTGGTTCTCGGCTGGGGACCAGATGTTTTCATTGGTGAAAGTAATAAATTTGCATAGGCCTGGGGATGGGGGTGGGGGAAAGACCCACCCTTAAGTCACCGCGAGCTTCACAGGTTCAAACCCAGGTCCCGGCCACGCGCTCCGCATCTGGGGGTCTCCAAGCGGGACCCCCGCCTCGGACGTTTCTCCCTCGTTCCCTCGGCAGGAGGCGTGACCCCGGGGCCCCCTCGGGTGCCGAGCCCTGGGGCTCCGCCAGCCCCCGCCCTCCCTCCAACGTCACGGCCACTAGGTGCACTGCCCCCTGGAGGCCCGCGCTCCGCCCAGGAGGAAGGCACCGGTTCCGCGTCCCGCCCGCCCGGCCCGTGTCGCCGCCGCCGCCGCCGCCGCTCCGGAGGGACCCGCCGCCGCCCGCCCGCCCCGCACCATGAGCGCGCGCCTGCCCCGGCTCCTGCTGCGCCAGCTCCGCCGGCCGCCGCCCCCCGCGCCCGCGGGCCGCCCCCCAGCGCCCCGGCGCGCCTGCAGCGGCCTCGGAGGAGGAGGAGGCGGCGGTGCCGGCGTGGGCAGCAGCAGCGGCGGCGGCAGCGGGGAGAGCCTGCTCGGGCAGCGGCGCCTGCAGGATGCCCAGGCCTCGAGCATCCGCGCCTCGGGCAGCGACAGCCAGGCGCCCCCGGCGCGGGACTCCCTGGTCCGGTGAGTGTCCCGGGAGCGGCGTCGGCGCGGGCTGGGTCTGGGCTGCACGAGTGGGAATTAAAGCGGGAGCCCGCTGGCGCCCGTTTGTGGGCGAGGGGCTTGTTCCTATAAAGGGGGCTTTGCTGAGTAACGGGGCCGGGGGGTGCTGGTTGCCAACTTGCTAGGGGCGGACGGGGCGCGCCGGAACGGGGGGTACCCCCGGGAGAGGGGGGTTCTTGCGCGCCCTGGGGGTACTGCCGGGGGGGGTGGGGAAGCTTGCAAACCTTGCGCATCCCCCGCCGCCCCGGGTATCCTCCGCCGCCCCGGGCATCCTCCGCCGCCCCGGGCATCCCCCAGCGGTCCCAGGCATCCCCCGCCGCCCCGCGCCGCTCTGGTCCACGTGCGCCCCGGGCCGCCGGCTCTGATGCAACCGCGCCGCCCCTTTCCGGCTGGCGGGAGCTGGAGAGGAGGGGCGCCCGCGGGCCGGCCCCCGGGGAGGTGGAGGCCGCAGGCTGGGCACCGAGAGGCGGGCCGAGGACCCAAGAGGCGGACCGAGGCCCCAAGAGGCGGGCCGGGGCCCTGGAACGGTGGCCACCAGCAGCTAGGCGTGCGCCAGTGCGTGGTCACCTCCTGGCCCCAGGCTGAGCGTCTCTTCGGAGTTTCAGTGCGTGGTCACCTCCTGGCCCCAGGCTGAGCGTCTCTTCGGAGTTACATAATTTCTTTTGCTTTGGGGAGCAGTGACCCGGCAGCCCGCAGGCCGGCCGGGCTGGAAGCAGAAGCCGCCTCGGGCTGACTCATTCGCTACATCGTGTTCCCGGGGGCGTGGGATCTCCCGCGTGGCTGCGGTTGGCAAAGTTTTCTCGGAACTCCACTGCTGGCTGCCCCGGGTGTTTGTTGCCTTCCCGGCCTCGCACAGGAGGTGCCCCACGACCCCCCCCCTGCACGACCTCCACATCCCACCCTCGCACTCCCCCCCCCCCCAACTCCATCGCCTCCTTCAGGATCCTCAGCGCCCCAGTAGGAGAGGGGAAGGAGGACTTGGATGGCCCTTTCTGGAAAAGACACAAGTTTCCTTTGCTAAGGGAATCATTTTGTTGTTGTTGGCAGAGGTTGAACTCGGGACCCCGCACAGGTGATGCAGCCGCTCTGGGCTGACCCATACCCCGGCCAAAGGCGGAGTTTTTGTGTTGCTTTTGTGTAGGGGGGGGTGCATGTCCATCGATGGTTAGGGCTTACTCCTAGCTCTGTGCTCAGGGATCACTCCTGGAGGGCTGGGAGGATCATATGGGTTGCAGGGGATCAAACCAGGTCAACCTCATGCAAGGCAAGAGCCCTACCTGCTGTACCATCTCCCTGACCCCAAGGGGGATGTCTTTTTTTTTTTTTAATTATTGAATCACCGTGAGATACAGTTACAAAGCTTTCATGTTTGAGCTTTAGTCATATTGAAATATGATATACTGATCAAACACCCATCCCTCCACCATTGCACATTCTCCACTACCCATGTCTCCAATATACCCCCCTTTCCAACCCTTCCCCTGCCTCCAGGGCAGACAGTTTCCCCAAAGGGGGAAGTCTTTTTTTTGGGGGGGTCACACCTGGCAATGCACAGGGGTTACTCCTTACTCGGCACTCAGGAATTACTCCTGGCGGTGCTCAGGGGACCATATGGGATACTGGGAATCAAACCCAGGTGAGCCGTGTGCAAGGCAAATGCCCTCCGTGCTATACTATTGCTCCAGCCCCCCAAGGGGGAAGTCTTAACCCTGGACTTGGTGGTGGTGGGAAAACCCTGACTGGGTGGCACCCCCAGCCCCCACAAAGGATTTCTGATTCCAGGGTGTCGTGCCACTGGGCTGGCTGTCCCATGGGCGATCGTATCCTCCTGTCCGTCATTCTGCAAGTACTCCCCTTTCTCTCTCATTTCCAAAGCTCTTTCTTCCATCTGAGGCCCAGAAATTGGCAGCCTTTTGCTTCCTTATCTAGTCATTCACCTGAGTGTGCCGGTTTTCTTGATGCCAGTTACTGGTGCCAGGGATCAGTGTTGCAGGTGTGTAAGTACAGCGGAAGGGCTCAGAGGCTGGGCCACACTCTGTGTTTTGGGGGGTGGGGGTGGGGCAGGATACCAAGATACCTAGCAGTGGTCCTTGGCTGCTGCAGCCTTTCCTGGCTTAGTCCTTTGGGGACACTGGAGTGTGAAAGATTCAACCTAGTGCTCCTCCTTCAAAAGTTTGTGCTCCAGCTCTCTAACCTGCCAAGCCCAGGTTATTTGATTTTATTTTTACTTTTTTTTGCTTTTTGGGTCATAACCCGGCGATGCACAGAGGTTACTCCTGGCTCATGCACTCAGGAATCACACCTGGCAGTGCTCGGGGAACCATATGGGATGCTGGGAATCGAACCTAGGTTGGCTGCGTGCAAGGCAAACGCCCTACCCACTGTGCTAGCGCTCCAGCCCCACCAGGTCATTTGATTTTAAGCAGCATAGGCCTGAGCACAGTGGGTGAGAAACTGAAGATAGTGCGTGAGGCATGCTCCACCATCACTGTCTTTTTTTTTTTTTTTTGTATATTTGGATATTTTTTGGGGGGTGGAGGGGACATGTTCACACCTGGCAAAATTACTCCTGATGGTGCTTGGGGAACTATATGGGGTGCCTGGGATTGAACCCAGGTCAGTCATGTGCTAGGCAAATGCCTAACCCTCTGTGCCATTGCTACGGCCTCAGGAGTGAATCAATTTAAATATCCACTGTGTGCCAGTGTCCCAAAGAAACCAGAGACCCGTCCTGCATTGACTGAGGTCTAGGTTTCTTTTTCTTTTTTTTGTTTTTGGATTTTTGGGCCACACTTGGCAATGCTCAGGGGTTACTCCTGCCTCTGCTCTCAGAAATCACTCCTGGCAGTGCTCAGGGAACCATCTGGGATGCTGGGGATCGAACCCTGGTCGACTGTGTTCAAGGCAGATTCCCTCCCCTCTATGCTATCAACTCTGGGACCATCACCGTATTTTATTTTTTGAGATATGTCTCAAATCTCTTTATTTAATAACAGAGGTCAGGAAACATAAATACAGCCTCTGTGAAACTATTTTTACTTTACATCAGGTCATATTGTTATAGTAATCCTCCTCCTTCAGTCTATTCCATTTTTTTTAAATTTATTTATTTATTGAATCACTGTGGGAAAAGTTACAGAGCTTTCAGGTTTATGTCTCAGTCATGTAAATATCAAACACATTTCCCTTTACCAATACTTATTTTTAACCGTGAACCCCAATAGAACCCCACCTCCCATCCCTCCCAATTCCTGTGAGGCAGATGAGTTCTAGTTAACACTCTATCTACTTTGACTAGATTCATTGTTTCGATAAAGGATGCACCATTATTATTTAGAGTTTACGACACCCCCCCACCCCAATCAGACATGCTGAAACAGTGTTGTGACATGATTTGCTTTCTACAGCTGGGTTTAAGAGTTAAATGATGTTGCGGCCGCGCGGTTTTGGATTTCTGCTGTTTTACTTATTAACCCTGGAAGTATTTCTATTAAAAGTTAGATAGTTAAGAGATTGGTTTCTGTGCTCTGGAGTCGTGGCCATGCCGGAGAGCCGCTCGTGGGGGCCAGCTGGTGACCTCAGTCGGGCGTGAAGGACGGACCGGAACGCCCCCCTTCCCATGAGGTCCCTGCCGCCCCTGACCCCCGGCTCAAACCTGCTGTCCACAAGGCTCCCGAATCACCGTATTTTTTATTTCCTGCACATCTCAGGGACTTTCGTGTTGGTCATCCATTTCTGGCTGACAGGAAAGCCTGGTCATGCACTCACTGCTTGATTTCCCCCCCCCCCCACACACACACACACATCCCCCACCACTTGTGGGACATGCTGATGTAGACACTGGTGACATGGATGAATCATGACTCGAGATTTGGGGTCAGTTGTGCATTTTGTCTCCTGTGCGGTCTTTCATTTAAAGCCCTAGCTGGGGCTGGAGAAATAATCGTATGGGGGTTAAGGCACTTGCCTTGCAGGTGGCCAGTTCTGCTGATTTGGTCCACTGAGCACTGCCAGAAGTGATCCCTGAGCCCTGTCTAAGTGATCAAAAACAACAGAAAAAAAAAAAGGGCATGACTGACTAGGTCATGGAATGTCCTAGTCACTACTCAGGTATCAAGAGCTTGAGGCTGCCAGGCCCAAAGCCTTGAGTGTGATGCCCAGTGCACATGCCAGCCCTCCCTGTGTCGAGGGCCAGGCAGCCTCTGGGCTCCTGGAGACCCCCGCCCAATCCAAACATTAAAAAGGAGGCTGGAGCGATAGTACAACGGGTATTGCCTTGTACGAGGCCGACCCAGATTCGATTCCCAGCATCCCATATAGTCCCCGGAGCACTGCCAGAAGTAATTCCTGAGTGCAGAGCCAGGAGCAAGCCCTGTGCATCGTGGGGCATGACCCAAAATACCAAACAAACAAACAAAAAAAATAAAAGGCCAAAGTTGTTTGATTTTGGTTTTGTTTTTGGACCATGCCCAGCTGTGCTCAGGGCTTAGTTCTGTCTCAGCTCAGGGACCCCTCCTGGTTGATTCTGGGGACTGTATGCAGTGCCTGGGCTTGATCCTGGGTCAGCCAGGTGCAAGGCAAGCACTGTCCTGTCTCTCCAGCCCTGGCATTACTGACCCAAAGGTGACTCCTAGGTCAGCAGGGGACTTGGGTTCACATCGCAGGGGGCCCATGTCAGTTCCGTGTGAGAAAACAGGGTCCCCCACAGCCCACACACATGGCCACATCCCAAGCCATGAAATGTGGTGTCTCTTCCTTTTTTTTTTTTTTTTAATATTTTTTCTTTTTGGGTCACACCTGGCGATGCACAGGGGTTACTCCTGGCTCTGCACTCAGGAATTACTCTTGGTGATGCTCGGGGGACCATATGGGATCCTGGGAATCGAACCCGGGTCGGCCGTGTGCAAGGCAAACACCCTACCCGCTGTGCTATTTCTCCAGCCCCATCTGTTCCTTTTTGA